CGGTAGAGCTGCAGAAAGTGCGCACCAAACGCATTTTCTCCGATTTTTGAGAGAGGACTGGGGCGAGTTTCAAAATAGAATGTATGTGAAAGGGGGAAGAAAGTATTAAAAAATCCTTTTTTACAGAATTTACATCGAGATATCACATTTAGGACACAATGTGATAAAGAAAGTGTTTAAATGAAAATCAAAGTAAGTAAGCACAAGTTAAACATCCACTATCGAGGTTCTCCGAGAGGAGGTCGAACTCAGCAACACGCGTGCTTACGTTATGCACATTCCCAACACACTGAGTCTCACCACGGCAAGAAACAACAGCAAGCAAAACTGATTCCAATAGCGTTTCTCTTCAGTCAACTTCATTTTAACAATATTACTTCACATGCTCTTTTTTCGGCGGCCATCTTGTCATGCGCAGTAAGAGATGCGCAGTGCAAAACTAGGGAATCACCTTAAGGCTATTTTCTCCATTGAAACATTTTTCAAGCTGGTCGTATAGAGAGAAGTTGCTTTAAACAAATTCACTGCTCATTAGGCATGCAGGAGTGCAGATCCGAGCTCCTAAAACTCTCGCTTTCAAAACGAGGCTGAGGGCAAATCTTTCTTGTGAAAATGATCCATTTTCTTTTGCATGAGAATAGCCTTAGCCTCGCTTTGAAACGGAAACTGAAGTCAAATTGGTATTTGGCCTATTTGACACTGGTTGTGGCAAAGACGAACGGATTCAATTTTCAAATAATGGATTCATAAATGGGACATATGAGGGTAAGCCTGACATAGCGTGACTGTAAACCTTTGGATCACTTTTGTAACCCTATCTTTAGGCTGCGTGCAAACGAACGAAACATTGTTGACCAACAACTCCCAACATTGTTAGATGTTACATGTTGCGTCCGTTTGCACACCCCATTGCATGTTGTTGGATGCTGTTACGTGTTGTTGCGCAAAGTTTGAAACCCGTCAAACTTTTCAGCCAACAACTCCCAACATTTCTTTTGTTCCGTGATCGCCGAAGCGTAGCGCAACAATGTTGGATCCGTTTGCACAGCTCTTCCAACATTGTTGGGGCCACGCACGCTTATTATGCATGGTGTACAAAGACTTATGGGTTGTGTCCTTCCCACGATGCACTGCAGGTCCCAACATTGTTGGGAGTTGTTGATCCGTTTGCTCACCACTGCCAAGACGCACGCAACAACTCCCAACATTGTTGGCGCAACAATGTTGGGAGTTGTTGCGTCCGTTTGCACGCTGCCTTAAGGTTAATCAAAATTCACTTTTCATGCAAGATAGCTTCTCTATGAATCGTAATCTTTATTTTTATTCATCATACAGGGAGATCTGCAATTTTTCGCAGCGGTGTGGCTTGGGTTGAGAACAGGAACAAGAGAAAAAAATGCAAATAAAGATTAAATTCTTTATTGGCTATCTTTGGCTGTTGTCACTATCCACAATTTTAACTTTGTGGCTTTTCTATATGCGTTGGACACATGTGTGGCACAAGAATGCTACTAAACTAAGGTGAGCAAAACCTTACACGTTTTTAAATTTTCAATTTGCACTCCTTTTCGCTTTATACGATTGATAAGCGGCTTAGAAAAACATTATTTACATGGTTTTACTCAATCATTCCTCTTTGAGAGAGTAAAAATGCATCAACGAAGGCAGGACGTTTTTTCTTTCACGGTTATTGTTACGAAAGAAATTTTTAAAAGTGGCAACATGAGCGTAAGGTTTTAGCCCGTCTGTACCCCTTAAACTAGCTTAAGGAAGTAGATTTTACTGCGTAAGATTAGGCGACTAGTGCTAACGTTACCCGCCAGCGATCCGTCCTATCACCGTGTACGCCAACACCGCTGTTAATAATAAGCAACCATGGCAGCGAAGGCAGCGAGAATGTAACTTCAAATGGGAATTCGCGCTGTTTTATACTTTATCGCTTTCACTCCATCTTGTTTAATTTGTTGGCGATTTTTCTAGACTGGCATTTTAAAGGACTTCGTCCTCCATAAAATGAAAAATGCAAACGTTTCACGTCGTCGTCGCAGAATGATGTCAAAGGTGTGATGTACTTTTACGTTGTTGTTTTGCATAAAAACTTACTGCCTTTTAGACGTTCTTGTTTCCGTCGCCGTCGTCGTCGTTTAAGCTCCTTAACAGGTTTCTCAAGAACCTCCCGGAAGTCAGACCTGTTAAGGCTGCATATAACCTATACTCAGTTTACTTCCTTACCTGATTCAAAGAACAACACAACGACAAACACATGGTTTAGACAATCTTGTAATCATAATCCCATTCTTTCGGCCTAGGGCTAAAAAGGTAGGTCATTTTCGGATCTGAAACGACGGCCGTGAGCTACTTTCTTTCTTATCGATTACTTCCACAGGAATATAAGTTATCTTCATCCTACGTCAAGATGTGTTCCTTGCAATCACATTATGTTCCTTAAGACACATAAAACTGGTGGATCAACTATCGCCAACATCCTATTTCGATATGGAGACAGCAGGAATCTCACATTTGCTCTTGGGTCTGTTGCTCAAGGAGGAAATCATCTAGGCTGGCCACAAAGATTCCGCTTATCTAGCACCCTTCCTGTCTACAGACCGCTTAACATTTTGTGCAGCCATACAGTATTTAACAAAAAACCCATGAACTGGCTTTTTCCGCGAGAAATTAGCAAGTACGTAACAATTATTAGAAATCCGGTGGATAATTTTGAGTCTCTCTTCAACTATTACCAATTGGGAGAAGATTTAGGCCTAGGAGACGATCCTGTGGTTTCACTGGAAAATTTTCTAAAAAGACTGTCATCATTTTACAGTAAGGTAAAAAGAGGTATCCATGCAAGAAACCCAATGATGTTTGATTTGGGTTTTAGCCAAAAATATTTCCAGAATTATACAGCTGTTACTGAATACATTAACTTTCTAAACAAAGAGTTTGATTTGGTTATGATTATGGAATACTATGACGAATCATTAATATTGTTGAAGCGGCTGTTGTGTTGGGAAATAGATGATATTTTGCACGTGAAGGTAAACGAACGACTAGACAAGGAAAAGGCTTCTAATCTAAGTGACAGAGTAAAGGAAAACATAAAACGGTGGAATAAGGCAGACGTTCTGTTATTTACTTATTTCAATGCAACATTTTGGAAAAAAATAGAAATGGAAGGTTCAGGGTTTTACGAAGACCTGTCTGCTTTCCGTAAGAGGAGATTGAAGCTTCAGCAAATATGTTTTGAGAATGGATCTGGGGCAGTGCAGCGGATTTTTGGGAGGAAAGATGTGAAGGGTTATTCCACTAGAAATGATTTAAATTCCAGTCTTAAGTTTTTGTGCAATCGCTGGATTAAAACAGAAAACAGTTACCTATATGAGCTGGGTAAAAAGCGTCAAGAAGAACTGGAATCAGATTTGGAGAAACAGACCAGGATTGATGACTCTACTAGTTGGGACGTGTCAAAAGATTTGCAGTACGTACCCGTAGAAACTTAACACATGGTAATTAGCTGGGATAGGTAGGAAGCATGTGAAGTCAGTGAAAAGGATTTGTTCGTTACTTCTTTATCAAGGGTGTTAGTGCGCATGCTCACCCTGGAATCCAACAGCTTAGATGACCCAATCAAATGGTAATTTACTACATGTACAGTGACGCCTCTATTGGGACCAAGGAAAGTTTCCCTTGAATAAAGGTGTTCTCTGAATGGTGGTTGGGCTGGGGTTTGTTAATAATTAACCAAATAATGAAATATTTTTCTTTTAGTCTGCCTCGGAATCTTGATGTAGTCATTATTTATGTGGCTAAATGTGATTTAGGCAAAATTAAATTTCAAGCCGATGCGGTCAGCGGTCTCCTCCTCAAGCGTACTTGATCTGTGGGGTGACCGCAGGGACCTTTTGCTTATCTCGTGACTTAAGTTGCATCTCATGCTGGCATTTTTGAGCTGATCTTTGCGGATTCCGGCCTTTAATTGCAAGATATGTCTAGCACTCGAAGCACTCGAAGTACTCGTAACAGCCAAGATGCTGCCTTTTCCGCGGCCAGCGCAACGGATAGTCCGTCCGCATTGGTGATTTCATCGCACCCTGCTGTCACCTCTCCGCAACTCGTAGCTGGTTCCTCTAGAGTTCCTCGTCGGCCATGCTTGGGTTCCCGGCCAGGATTTGAGATCTCAAGCTTCGGTTTTGTGGACCATAGGGACTGAATTTTCAACGCATTCTTCCGTGGCCCAGGTATCTTCATCACAAGGTAGGCCTGCCTTTGTTGTGCCGTCATTTGTTCGTACTTTCGCGCTCCCGAATCCATCGCTCATATCGTCCCGCGCGATCACCGCCTCACCAGTTGCGTCTTAGGCTGGCCTCGCTATAAATAGTGTTTTTACCTCCATTTCGGCGCCTATTCTACATCATCCCTTTGTGGTTTTTTCGGGCTTTACATCGATTCCCGCAAAGCTGGTCGGCCAGATCGTGGCAGGAAAGTTCGTGGAGCTCAACGAACTATCATCTTCGAACATTGTGCTTAACGAACCTGAGCCGCAATTGCTATTTCACGGCCGCTTAGTGTTGGAGTCCACCCCCAAGAAAGCCAAACTTTGTATCGAGGATATCATGACCTAAATGGAGGCTTTTTCTATTTACTCCCTTGTACTGACCTCCCATCTTCCGCATCGGTGGAAAGAATTAAGTCAATAAAAGTTGCTGATACTTCGCAGATACCAGCAATTCAGCAACCGAGTCTGGCTGACTTATGATCGGGCTTTCCGCGAGCGTGCGACAGTGACCAGTCTCACCGATTGGTCAAACATGAACGTGCAGTTTTTCAATTTCCACGCAGCGGGCGCCTCTACTCGTGGGCGTAGAATTTGCTAACGAATCGGCTGAGCCTGCCGGAGCTACAATCCTGGCCAAAAGGTTTTGGGACACCTCCTCGTTTTCACGTGTTTTTCTATGGAATTTACAGCTAACCTGCGATACACACTCATAAACACGGCCTTAACAAGATTTTCCCCCACCCCCACCCTCCCAACAAAGTTAAAGTCCTTAGCGTATGCAAAATATGTAAAAAGTGTTTGACTTGTAACACCCAACACTGTTCAGAGGGGAGGGGGGTCAACTTGGCAACGAGGTGTGAGCAGGATAAAATCTTTCATTTCTCGCCGAGAATGTCTAGTTTTTGTTATCGTTGGCTGTCATTGTTTCTAGCTCCACCTCTTACCTGTGATCTTGGTTGAACTTACATTCAAACACATTAGACACTATGGCAAATTCATTCAAACACTATGGCAGTAACTTGCCTTTGCTGGACTCGTATTTTTTCTATCGATTTTTGAAGTTGGAGGGAACGGAAAACACAAGTAAGTCAAGTAATATACAGAGCTAGAAGAGGAGGAGTCAGATTGTAAGTCATTTTAAAGTAAACGTTCCCAATATTTTGATATTTTATGTAAATTTTCTACGTATCAATCCTTTGGTTCGCATTTTTGGGTTGCCAATGACATACATTTTTGTTTCTTGTATGGTTATTTTTATTGTGTGCGCGCCTCTGTTGTCCGCAAGAAAAGGATTATACGACAACTGACGAAAAAGTGACTATAAACATCATCGTAGGCCAACACCGTCTTTCCAATCTAGCGCATGCCCTTAAATCCGTATGAAAAAAATGCCAACCTTGTGGCAGAGGTTCGTCTGTTTCGTCACTCGATGAATTTATCTTCAGACTTAAATACTCGCCAGCGCTCACCTTACTCAGCGGGACTTTATCGAACCTCTGTGGGACTGGGGAGGAGTGGAACCTGACTGGAAGATAATCTCGGCTAGGTAATCACAGGTGATCAGCTAACCAAAGACTGTGCACTAAACTATTGCTCCAGACCTAAGCTTAAAGGAAGGAACAGGTAAATTAGTGCAAGATATTTCAAACAGAAAAGCTTTGTTGAGGGTTGCGTTTATGAATTGAGTGACATGTATTACGTAAGAATCTTCAGTTGCGTGTTCTTTCTAAGTTCTTGAGGCCTTGCTTGCTGGACTGAGAGCGATGTTTTTCTATATCTTGGATGCCAAAGTTGGGATATTTAAAAGTTTTGATATATATTTTTCATGAACAAGATATAATTATGGTTTGTTGTTACTCACATCATCGTTACAACAAAGTTGAAATTATAACCGCCTGAAACAGGATGTTGGTTACGTAACCAGGATAATGAATGAAAAAAAAAAAACTAAAACAGTGCCCAAAGTGTAAGTGTTAGGTTAATGTCATTGACTTGCTGATTAAGACTAGATCCAGTTAATGTGCAAAGCTTCCAGTCCTTGAGTTTGAGTTGAAATTTCGTGGAGGCTAAATAAGAGTTCAAAGTCGTCACGCAGTAGAACAATGATTTGCGATAAGGTCCCGTGTTATGCAAATGTTAAAAAGATGTGAGAGTCGGAACTTGTTGGAAGAGAGGTTTTCGAAGGCATGGTGACATCAATTTGTACCATTTTGAAGTTACCCATTGACGGGCGCCGAGCAAGAGTCACTTGTTGATGACTAATGGTCCGAGAGCGATTGCTGAACCGTGTGAATATTGACTACTAGCCAAAGCATAACTTTCATAGAATATGAAAATGTTCTAAATGCTAATATTCTCTGTTGATTCGTTCATGCTCGAATTTTACGAATCGATTAAGGCACGAAAACGTACATTAGCTGATTTCATGCACAAAACTTCTCAAAACTTCAAAATTCAGTCCCTTTTTAAAATTTAAAAGACATGTACCATACAGATTCATTATCATACCAAATTTATCCGAGAGTTTGAATTTTCAAATGATGTTTACAAGACCTTGACAATACCACCTGTCGCGTGCAACACCGTTAGCTCAACCATGAAATAAGC